CACCCACGCCCATGTCCACGGGTACCCACCTCGTCGATGACAATGAGCTTCTTTCCCCACCTGATGGCCAGGGGCCTGCGGAACTTTTTGGAAACACAGCCTCAATGGATTCGTCACCCGCCAAGCTCTGATGTGAATGAGCTCTCGGCGATCTCCTCTGGTCAACTTGATCTTGCAACGAGAAGGTGGGCAATCGCAAACGCCTCAGGCACACGACGCCCAGCGCTACCCAAAGCTTATGGCCACCAGATTCTCATCTCCTGCGTCCGCATTTCGTACTCGTTCAGCACATTGATCATCAATTGGTGAAGCGGCCATTGCATAGCTTACTCGCCCCGGGGCCAGAACCAACTTGCACTGTTCTCCGAATCCCTGTCCCTCCAAGGTCTCAGAGGTAGAGAGCAGGGCAGCTCTGGCCCATTCACTGAGCCGACACTTCACGGGTTCACGACGCGCGTAAACCTGCAAAGCAGAACACACACACTTATGGATATGCGTACTGACTGACAGCGGTGCCACACGCCGGCCTAAGGTACCATTTCCTAAGGGTGCAAGAAGGAACCGTCGGATCCTGGGGTTCTTTAATGTGGCCCAAAGGGCAAGGCGAAACCGATCCGACAGAGTGACGGCGTTCCGTGCGTGACTGCAGCTGCATTAGCCCTTTACAAGAAAGTTCAAAAATTCAATTGAAGCAGGTACGTCGGTGAGCGTCCCCACCGATATCAATGCAAGCCTCTTCGTTGGGCTGGTACTTGCATGAACAACCAGCCCAACAGAACAATTCAAAAGAATCCCTGTGACTACAAGGGGCACACACACACGCCTCCCCGATAAAGCTAAGGTGAGGGCCAATGCGCACGTGTGCACGCACATGAAACAAAAGAATGAGGACATGACAGGCGGACGAGACGGGACAAAGGTGCATGTGGTTGAACTGACAGGGGAACCAAGTGCACAGGGACACCCGATGAAGCCCACCTCATTGTAAAGACCTGGGCGACCTGAAACCTGTGTTTAACGGTATGTAGAAGTGCACGTACACACTAAGGCCGGGACCAATGCGCGCGCAAACGAAGAAAAGGATGAGATGACCAGACATGAAGACAGGAGGACATGAAAGAAAAGAGGAAACAAAAGTGTGTGAAGGGGAAGGGATGAAAGGGGAACCAAATGGAGGGGACGAGAACCGATGAAACCATACCTCATTAAAAGCGCCTTGGGAACTGCCTCGTTTGAATGTAGGCGCTGTGTGCGCACCTGAGAGTGTGTGGGAGAGGTTCCAATGAACCTTGAACTTGCTTTGACCGCTGTGGTCACCTTGTGCCCTGCCGAAATGGCTGGCTGCTTGGACCGCTGCGGTCACGTAAAGGCATAAGCCAACTTGGAATTCCAAAATGAGACAAAAATCTGAGTTCTGGTGGCATGAGCCAGCTACAGTCCGCTGCGGACACGTACATCTCCAGGCAGGGGAGATAACGACAAACACCCGTTCGACGGGTCCACGGGAGGCACTCTACGGGCTCATCCCGGACTGGCACACTTATGGATATGCGTACTGACTGACAGCGGTGCCACACGCCGGCCTAAGGTACCATTTCCTAAGGGTACAAGAAGGAACCATCGGATCCTGGTGTTCTTCAAAAGGAAATGTGGCCCAAAGGGCAAGGCGAAACCGATCCGACAGAGTGACGGCGTTCCGTGCGTGACTGCAGCTGCATTAGCCCTTTACAAGAAAGTTCAAAAATTCAAAGGAAGCAGGTACGTCGGTGAGCGTCCCCACCGATATCAATGCAAGCCTCTTCGTTGGGCTGGTACTTGCATGAACAACCAGCCCCCCTGCTGAAAACAGAACAAATCAAAAGAATCCCTGTGACTACAAGGGGCACACACACACACACACACGCCTCCCCGACAGGAGGCGTAAAGCTAAGGTGAGGGCCAACGCGCACGTGCGCACGCACATGAGACACAAGAATGAGGACATGACAGGCGGACGAGACGGGACAAAGGTGCGTGTGGTTGAAATGACAGGGGAACCAAGTGCACAGGGAAGCCCACCTCATTGTAAAGACCTGGGCGACCTGAAACCTGTGTTTAACGGTATGTAGAAGTGCACGTACACACTAAGGCCGGGACCAATGTGCGCGCAAACGAAGAAAAGGATGAGATGACCAGACATGAAGACAGGAGGACATGAAAGAAAAGAGGAAACAAAAGTGTGTGAAGGGGAAGGGATGCAAGGGGAACCAAATGGAGGGGACGAGAACCGATGAAACCATACCTCATTAAAAGCGCCTTGGGACCTGCCTCGTTTGAATGTAAGCGCTGTGTGCGCACCTGAGAGTGTGCGGGACAGGTTCCAATGAACCTTGAACTTGCTTTGACCGCTGTGGTCACCTTGCGCCCTGCCGAAATGGCTGGCTGCTTTGACCGCTGCGGTCACGTAAAGGCATAAGCCAACTTGGAATTCCAAAGTGAAACAAAAATCTGAGTTCTGGTGGCATGAGCCAGCTACAGTCCGCTGCGGACACGTACATCTCCAGGCAGGGGAGATAACGACAACACCCGCTCGACGGGTCCACGAAAGGCACTTACGGGCTCATCCCAGACTGGCATGAGGCCAGACACACTTATATGGATATGCGTACTGACTGACAGCGGTGCCACACGCCGGCCTAAGGTACCATTTCCTAAGGGTACAAGAAGGAACCGTCGGATCCTGGGGTTCTTCAAAAGGAAATGCGGCCCAAAGCGCAAGGCGAAACCGATCCGACAGAGTGACGGCGTTCCGTGCGTGACTACAGCTGCGTTAGCCCTTTACAAGAAAGTTCAAAAATTCAAAGGAAGCAGGTACGTCGGTGAGCGTCCCCACCGATATCCGTGTTCAACGCAAGCCTCTTCGTTGGGCTGGTACTTGCATGAACAACCAGCCCCCCTGCTGAAAACAGAACAATTCAAAAGAATCCCTGTGACTACAAGGGGCACACACACACACTTAGATGGTTGCTCGCAAGAGCAGCTAGGATCAGTATGAAGTCCCCCTTGACTTGATGAACAGAAAATAACAGAAAGAAGCACAAACCGAAAGGTGGTAGAGTCGGCGAACTTGTAGATGTTTAACAAAGTTTGGAAATGCATTAGCCATTTACTGCGAAACACAGGACTGGACAGCTTGCGCAACAGTTCAACTGATGAAATCACTGCAGGTACACACCAGGACGTCTCCCGATGCATCACCAGAGAATGTGGACGTTTTCGTTGGCAGTGATTCCACAAACTCTGTCACTGCCCCCTGCTGCTGTAAAGTAGGAAATTGTTGAGAACAGTCCAAAAGCACAAAGATCAAAACAGTCAAGTGGAGATTGAAAAATCCTTAGGGACAGGCGTTGACACACACAGACACACACACACACATATATATATATACAATGTATTTAAATACGTCTGCTGACACGGTTTGTCTTCCGGCTGCTCTCAACAGTCCTGGTACGCTGGCGTTGTTCTCATGGTTCAATGTCACTGGGCCACGCCATATTTGCATGTTTTCCATTTGTAGTTGGAGACACAAACGTCAAGAGTCGTTTGGGATTCGGAAGCAAACGTTGTTGAGCACAGCGTCCAGGTCTGGCCTTCACATCGTCGCCGCCATTGATGCCGTCCTCAAGCGAAAAATTATTGAAGTTCTTTACTTTCATGGTTTTGGATGCGTGGCAAGCCTGCTGCACTGGCACCACCTTGCATGACGCAGTTTCAGTCGCATTGCGCTGGAAACAATCAACAAATAGGAGACCAAACTATTGTGTATATATATATATTCTGCTGCCACAAGCACCTGTCTTCTCTCATACGTTGAAAGGGGAGCTACCATTGAATGATGGCCTCAGGCGGACTGCAATGGCGAATCGAAGTAGCAAACAGAAGCGCCAGCTGGATGTTTTCCACACCGCATGCGATGCGAGGCATGTTCTGTTTGGTGAAAGGGGGGCTGGGATTGGAAGCGGAAAACGCAACAAGCGATCCAATTCTAAGAACCCCGCACAAATCGTGCCGTGCTGAATCCGACTTGAGACTGGGCATAAAAAGAATGAAGCAATTCCAATCTAGTCTCCGGTCTCAAAACATGGACCCCTGGAAAAACATTACCTTACTTCGAGTGGTCTCCACCAAGACATTTCAATCTGACAATATTTCTGGCATGTATTGAAACATGACTTCGGCATTCTTTCTGGCATATCTTCTGATATTCTCGTGGCATTTTTTCTGGCAAATCTTCTGACATTCTTTCGTCTAACATTCTTTCTGACCTTATTTCCTGCATATCTTCTGACATTCTCTCTGGCATCTCTTCTGACATGATTTCTGGCATATCTTCTGACATTCTATCTGGCATATCTTTTGACATTCTTTCTGGCATCTGGCATCTCTTCTGACATTCATTCTGGCATTCTATCTGACATATCTGCTGACAAATCTTCTGGCATATCTCGTGACATTCTTTCTGGCGTATCTCTGACGTTCTCTCTGGCATTGATTGCGGCATTCTATCTGGCATATCTTCTGACATTCATTCTGGCACTCTATCTGGCATATCTTCTGACACTCCTTCTGGCATTCTTTCTGGCATATCTTCTGACATTCTTTCCGGCATATCTTTTGACATTCTTTCTGACATTGGATCTGGCATATCCTCTGCATATCTTCTGACAATCTCTCTGACATTCTTCTTGGCGTTCTATCTGGCATATCTTCTGACTCGCGGTTGAGGTCTGGCGGGGAACCCTCTCAGCCGAAGCTCGCGGTTGAGGTCCGGCGAGGAACACTGCCCGCCGAACGGAGAACACTGCCAAGAGGAGAGGAGGAGAGAAGGAGGAGGAGGAGGAGGAGAAGCACGTCTATATAACAACCCTCACCTGACAGGTGGGGAAAACTTATATACAAATCGACAAAGTGCCGCTACAGCTGCTACAACGCTTCCAGTCGCACGACGTCTCACTTCTTTTTTGACCTTCCGGCAAAGCTCTTGCAATGCGCAGTATCTTGCGGCATTCACCAACTCCATCCAGTGCAGGACTGTACGCAAATTGCAAGTCGGGCATTGATATTCAATCAACCCCAAACTCTTGACATCCTTGTCATCGCTTGAGCTCATTCATTTTCACTTCAGGTTCGTTTTGGCCTTCTTTCAACTCGTAAGTGTAAAGGACCACCTTGGCAAATACAAAAGTCACAGCGCAACAAAAATAAAGAATCAATCAATCAACCAATCAACCTACGGGAGGTTGTTGCGGTGACTGCTGTGGTGTGGTGATTTGCGAGGTCTGCGAGGCGTTGATGGACCCGACTTACTCATTGTGTCCTCTAAAGTTGCATTGATCTTCCAATCGTTGGCGAAGTAATCTAAAAGGCTGTCTTAGGGTGCCCTTTGATTCTGTTGCTAGCCGAGAACAAAGCCCATGATTTGTCCAGGGGATGAGATTTAAAAAAAAAAAAAACGCATCTGATGACTACGTCTCAGAGTCACAAAACTTCAAAATGTTCGACATAGTGAACATAGGCCCCAAATGTACAGGGGTTGTGTCCAGCCCTGTCAACGGTCCACACTACAGCTTCAATGTCCAAGCCCAAGCACCGCTTTGCACAGCACGACCCCCACCGCACGGCAGGATGTTTGATGCCCGAACCTTCTGACACCAGCCTTCCACACCCTCAGCGTTGCTGCTGTGGATGCTGCTGTCCAGGATGCTGCTTTGAAGCACTTTGCTTCGGTTGGTGCACCAAAAGATTCAGGAGACTATCAATTGTGCTATCTGTGCCCCACCCTGGTGTGGTGTGACTTTGTTTGCCACATAGAAAAGCTAGAAGAGTTTTGTCAGCCTGTCAGCAAATTTGTTCGCCAGGCTGGGCTGCAGAATGATTCCCAGGGTGCTGTGGAGGTTCCGGCGGTCACAACAGCACTCTGCTCTCATCAGTCCGGGCAGTCACATCAAGCACTACCCCCCATACACTTGTTCGCACTGACAATACCTGTGTTTTAACACCATCCGCAGCACCACACCTATGGGTCTCGCTGGAGTCTATTTCTGGAAGTCTTGTAGGTTTACCATAAACACCTCCACTTGCGATCTAAACATAAGCCTCATTTATGCTTGGCGTTCTTGTCTGTATATAATATATATATATATATATGTTATGTTTATTTACTGTAAAAAAGCAATCAAGAGTGTGTAAGAGTGTGTGTTGGACATGGTAAAAATCTTTGTTTTCCCAACCTCACACAGTGACTATAATGTATTTTTCTGTTTAAACCTTCGGCCTGTCTTTCTTCTTTTCTTCTTTTCTCTCAGTGAAGTTACTAAGCTTCAGTTGCAGTCCCGTTGTCACTGCTGAAGCCTGCCTGAAACCTGCCACACCCCTCTGACCAGCCACTGCATTTGTATCACCCCTGCCCCCAAACAGTCCCGAGATCGCCCAGTCCCAAAGATATGCAGTCTGCAACTCAGAAGTTTTCCCACTAAACTGCAGGCGAGTTTCTGATTTCTCCTGCACGGCCATCAACATGAAGGACGGCCTTGACAGCAAAAACCACTGGTATCAAAAGAATTCTATCCAAGTTGACACTTGCACTGGCAACTTCGAGTGACAAAACTACAACTGAAGGCTAGGCGTAATATCAAACTCCCCCACTGCATTGCCTCGATCAACAAATTTCAAACACCTATCCTGTTCCAAACAAAAGGCAACAGGTGAGCAGTGCCATTTGTAACCTGAGATCTTTGCAAGCACCTGTAACTGAACCAGGATTGATCAAGAACTTTCCTCCAAGCTCCACGATGCTGTTCCTGCCATAGCTGCACACCGGTCTATTCCAGCCCAGGTTCACAAATATTGTAGGCTACTTTGTGCCTGTGCACTGATTCTCCCCATTTAACCATAGCCGTAGCATGAGTCCACCTGTTGACAGGATAGCATAGTGCAAAACGTCATGTCTTGGAAAGGCTCGACATGATACGCGCCCAACCCTCCCAATGGTTTTAAACGGTACTGTACGTGATAAAATTGTGCCCGTGACCCAGGTGCTGCGCATTGAACGAACATGAATAAGCGGTATGGACAGGTGCCTGCAACCGCCAATGGATGGAGTGCCTTGCCCGGATCAGTTGACACCTAGAATATTTGGAACTTCCAAGTCATCTCCATCAGAAAGGCTGGCATCGTGTGAGATTCCTTGTCATGAAGCGATGTGCCGCAGCGACGGTTGACCAGCGAGGCCGAACAGGCCTTAAGTAGTGCTGCTTTGACCTCAAGTTTGCGAGAGTGTTGCCTGGTATTGCCTTCTTGCTGGTCCTTTGTCAAGTTAGAGCGAAAACAATACTTCGCCTTCAACCATTTCACGAAGCCAGAAGGCAAGCTGAAGAAAAATTGGCTCGCACACTCGCTCATACTAAAGTGAGCTTGCCATTCAGCCATTCAAGCTCACTTCTCGATTCTCCACAATCAGTGTGACAAACAGCCATGAAGCTGAAGCTGGGATCAAGGGGATGGGGTAGTTGTACTCCTCATCCTCATCCAGTACTCAGAAAAGGACAAGAGATGCTTAACACCTGAGAAGGGAGAACGAAAGCTAGGAACACACCAGGAATACCAGAATACGACCTCAAAAGATGTGCCGAACGCTGGTCAATATGAATGTAATGTATAGTTTTGAGAATTCAATAGCCGGAGTGAATGGTTGTACCCAAACCCACCGAAGGTCTTGTGCAGTGTTCCGGTGATTAACACTTGCATATGCAAGTAGTTGACGATTTACAGACCAGGACCTAGCCCAACACATATTGACTCCCGTTTTCTGCATCACCAACTTGCCTAAAGTGGGCTCTCTCACACCCCCTACATAACTCGCAGAAACCAACTTTGGCCTAGCCTATCGTTATGTTGGGCGATGGCAGCCATACATGGCCAACCATCAAATAACTTTTTTTGTGAAAAAAAAAGTGAAAAAAGCAAAATAAAAGCAAATGAAAATGCAAAAACAAAGCAAAAACAAAGCAAAAAGCAAAAACAAAGCAAAACAAAAAGCGAAAAAAAAAAAAGCGAAAATAAAGCGAACAAAAAGCGAAAATAAAGCGAAAAAAAAAGTGAAAAAAAAGCGACAAATATGTTTTTGCTGTACCCTCCTAGGAAAAAAGCGAAAAAAAAGCGAAAAAAAAGCGAAAAAAATGCGAACATAAAGCGAAAAAAATGTGAAAATAAAGCAAAAAAAAAGTGAAAAAAAAAGCGACAAATACGCACAGCTACATTTTTTTGTTTTTTTGTTTGCTTTGCCTTTTGCCTTTTTTTGCGTTGTTTTTGCTTTATAAAACTATTTTGGCTCCTTGTATCTATGGCTGGCGTGCCCGACATAAGCCTATCGGCTGGCTTTCCAAATGATCTTGCATATAGAGCTACCATTGGACAAAAAGCAGAGGTGCTGAATGCTGCTCAATTGACGAAGCAAGTTTCAGACCATACAAGAGGTGTGTCAGTCTTCCGTTGACAAGACCTTTTCAATACAGTGCTCATTTGATTTACACCCATTTGCATGTTGTAGTAGTAACGACTGCTGCCTCCTGAGTCACTCTAGAGATGCACTAGCGGCCAAGACGACCATGCATTCGGAGAATGAAGGTTTACTGTAGATGATCAGAGCCTAGTTAGGCACACAAGCGACAAAAGACATGGACAAAAAACAAATGAAGGAATCATCCGAGACTATAGTTTCACTGCATACAGTGGCACACAGCACCTGCAGGACCTGCCTGTGCGTGTGGCCTGACACAAGAATGTCGACTCCAAGTCTTCCGGCAAATTTCACTAGGGAGTTGTCATCACCTTAGGGGCATGTCACTCACAAAAAAAGAAACAAAATGTCAATGTCATCACCAAAACATTCAGGAATTGATGACATTTCAATTTATGACTCTGGGAACCCCACCCCAAGGCACGAGTTGATGGCCGTGAACCACACCAACTTTGAAGTCTCCAACGTTTGTGACCTCCAATGCAACTTAGAATGCACCACGTCAAACAACACCAAGAAGCTGAGTTGCATTGAGTTCCGCGTGGTTTATCGAGGAGGCCACGCATGTCTCTGGAAAGTTGAAATCATGGTCAGCATCCCCACAAACAATGTGACAATCCTTGCGAATACAAAGCGTGCGTGAGAAGACTTGAACAGTACGGAAGAATACTGTTAAGCAGGATGCTAGACACTGATCAATGCCTACTGGAAGCAAGTAACAAACAGAATTCGAAGGAGTTCCCGCCAAGGAAATTATGAACAGGTCCTCGCCGGCAATGGTTCGGAGATGCTCTGCGACAGACTGCGATCCAACCTCATCTCTTTTGCGGATGAGGTATTGGCGAACCACTTCAAGCAAAGCAAACTTTCAAAAATGAAAAAAACATGTTGTGTCTAATTGTGGCAGGGTCTATGGGCAGCACATTTCCAGTGCATAAAACCATGCCAATCCTAGGAAATGCGCCACAAGCAGAAGTGAACGCCAGCGACTGAGTCTGGCAAAGTCACGTCAACCTAATGTCTACCGAAAAATATACAGTATAATGCAAACACCCTCTCAATTGCAACCAACATGTCTCCTCTGAACAGTAAACCGAGCCTTCCTCCCATCCTCTGTGTCCTTTTCCTTCTTTATCATTTATGTTTTGTTTTGTGCGTTCTTTCTTTGTCCAGTTTGTTCACGCAAGATCGTTTCTCTAAAGGTGACTAGTGACTAGATTTCAATTTGAAAAACTCACAAAGGGTACCTGTAATTGAACTGAGCCCTCCTGCGATATCCTTGTTTGTTGCGTTTCCTATATTTTACCTCACGTTCCCTTCTCTTGCCTATTATCCCTCAGACTTTTTGTGTGTGCAATGCACAAACCAAATATGCATAGTGGTTGAATGCTGTCCAGGTTCTTGTCGGTATTCAGTAACTCCTTGAAACATGACGGGACATCAGCCTTCCTGCAAGAATCCAAATTGAAATCAGCAACAATGCAATATCTCCACTGCCTTTGTGGTGTGTGGTAGTCACCAATTAGCAGAACCTTGGAAAAATCATTTATGTGGAACCTTTTTCATGCGATTCCAGTTTAAAGTATATAATGAGGCCCTCACCAACCGGCCAAATTCGGTCATGTACGCTGATAACTTTCCACGGAAAAACACACTCAAAGTATCAATTACAGGACATGTGAATGTTTAGGGTGAAAGAATCAGATCTTGAGAATTGTGCATGTTCGCCTTCTTTTTGGTACGTCATGCAAGTCGTGATTTCAAACCACCGCGACAACGCTTGATTGCAAAAAAAACACGGACATGCACCACATATCCAAGTGACAATCACGACCTGCATATATAAACAGCTTGCAGTGCTGGGTTCACAGGTCGCAGTGCCCCAGCCATTCTCAACCCAAAGCACAAACCAAACCAAATCTCCGCAAAACAATTGATCACATACCGGTGACTTATCTGCTTGGGCTGTGGTTTCCACTTTATAAACATGGCCGTTTATGGAATGGTCGGACCGGGATGTGGACTGCCTATATAATGCTGCACCAACCTGCTTCTAAAATGAAGCCTCTTAGGGGGCCTATGTTTGTGTTAAGATCTTTTCAGTTGAGTCGAGCGTTTTGTCATGCCTTGGCTTGGTCTCTCTTCAAACGCAGCATCACGCAAGCACTCTTTTTCTCGAAGGAAATTGCAAATTGTTTGTGGTCTCAGGCCGAAGGACCGAAACTTAGGTTTGACATTTCGATCGTCTTTGATGAACCACAACACCATCCTTCGTTTGGCCTCTCTTTGAACAGATCACGCACTCTACTCTAATTTTCGAAGAAAATGGAAAGTCGGCTGTGGCCCCTTTTGAAACACGATTTTTTACACTACCTTGAGAGTACATGGCTCTCAACTTTCAATATAATGGATGGCTCCCGGGATCCCTGTACATAAAATACACGGGGTAACAGTAGATGGCGCAAAAGGTAGGTGTGCGCACCACAAAATGTAAAAAAACAGGGGTGCAGTCAAAATTGACGTGCCATCTACTAGCTGTGCTGATCCAGGTGTGTTGGAGTGTGGACATTCCCGCCCTCATTCCTCACTTTCTAGTTTCCTTGCTTGCTGGCTTGCTGGCTTGCTTGCTTGCTTGCGTGGAGTACTTTCGGGGAGGGTAGCGCCGTCTATTCTGACCAAAACCACTCCCGTACATAGACGCATTTTTTTTAAACGGAACAAAATCGGTGTTCGTGAGGGTCCGTTGACAAAAAACACATTGTTCCACTGTCTTGGCAGATGGCGTTGGTTTTTTGAGCATTTGGAGGTAGAGGTGTTGCGCTTGTCCTGGTTCCACCTGGCCCATAGGGTTTGGAAGGCGCTTCAGATGACATCTCTACTTGTGGAGAGAGAGTAGTAAACGGCGCACACTGACAATTAGGGTGGGAAGGCGCAAAGAGGGAGCCCGGACGGATTGGGGCCCGTCAGAGGCATGTCATGAACAGGGAGAGGTGGACTCGCGAGGGTCCGGGGGGGACGTTAAACTGAATCTGTGGCGGGAGCAGCTGAAGGCCCCCGTCCCCAACCAACCGTATGATGAACACGGTACCTTGGTTCCCCTAGTCGGCGTGTTGTGACCTGTTGGGTGGCCCCACTTTTGCACGGGTGGAGACGCCATGTGTGCAGAGATTGCACAGGTCATCTTGTGCTAGTGAAGAGAGAGTTACTAGCCAGGTTGCGAAAACAAGGGAACCACCAACAAACCCAAAACCAAACAACAAAACCCAACAACAAACCCACCCCACGCAGACCACCAGCAACCTGGCATGTAGCTCAAGAGGTCACGTAGACCAGAAAAGAGTAAGAGGTGAAACAGGGGCTGCGAATTAAACACTGGCCTCTCAGTACTGCTGGACAGTGCAAGCTTTGTCTCTCTTCATTCAACATCCTTTCCTCAAGGCAGCAAAGCGTCCTGAGATCAGAACGCTGTGCAAGCTATTGCACTTGGAGAGCGTCGAAAGCAACGCTTACGACATTGTGCAGTCAACGGAGCAGGCCTGTTTCTTGCGATGCGAAGTCAAATCTTTTCACTGCAGCGTTGAACAGGCAAATGGGAAAACCACAGCGAAATGTTTCCGATTGCTCCAAGCCTTCGGTAACCGGATTCGGCAGTGCAGCCTGTGATCAATATGAGTCTCCCCGGGCGGGGAGGAGGGCAACAAACACACACCCACTACTTGCGTCGGCGGCTCCCGAACAGCTTGGCCAAGGGAAGACACAGAAAGGCAAGTGGAAGCCATCTGGCTTGCGGTAATGAATGACTGTACCATGCAGTGCCCCACTACTACCGTGAAACAAGGTGAAACGTCGTTACCCTACGTCTTAGTGACCAAAGTAAAATCTGTACACTTTGTATTCATCCAGGACCGACACTGAGGCGCCAGCCTGGGAGCTGCCTAACTAGTTTGTCTCTTTTGTACAATGTGTTACGGAGGCAGCAAAAAGAGCATGCCGGCAGGACCGACACTGAGGCGCCAGCCTGCGGCGGGCTAGCTGGCGTAGTGTTAGTGCTGGTCTCTGCGCAGCTCCTCATCAAAGTCGGCTGAATTGAAGGCCTGACTGTCTCTTCCATCTGGCGGAAGATGGTTGAGCCACTCCGGCATGTGAAACTTGTCACACAAGTCAAAAGTGTCACATTCGGCATAGGGGTCCTCGCCATGTGACTTTCTCTTCCATTTTAATGAGCTGAATGAGTTCTCCACAATCGAAAAATGCTCGGTGAGCAATATATAGCAGAGCCGGCGGGGTATGCACTTCTTGAAGCCAGGAGCAAAGCAAAAAGGCTTCTTTGCCAATGCGTCTTAGCTTCCGTGGGAACCATACCTGTATCAGGTTCACACAATGTGAGAAGGTAGAGCTCCATATGGCAGTGACGTCGGTACCAGTTAAGTCAACCAATCGCAGCCGCTTGCAGTTCTCGCATGCAATAGGTCCAACAAAGTTGAAATCTGCAGGTAGTTTCAGTTGCTCAATTCCTGACCCACAGAAACTTCCCTCTGGTATGTATCGCACAACCACCGATGCATGAGCCTCTGTCTGCTCAAAGGTGACCTGCGAGAGTGCAAGGCAACTCTCAAAGGCGTATGGAGAGATTTGGGCTTGCGGAGCCAGTAGATTGATCGCGTTCTCAGTGGTTCCTATATGGTACAAGGAGCAACGTTCTGCAAATGCTCTACGCCCACATCGCTTGCATCCAGGGACCAGAACGTCCATGAGCGCATAGCACCCTTGAAAGGACAGAGGAGGGCAGCCTGACAATTTGTAGCTGTTGACAGCTTTGCCAGGCAGAGGCTCCTATGGTTTGGATGCCTGTTTCAACTAGTACATGTCTCAAATTTGGGACATAAGAGAAGGCATTGGGCAAAACAAAGTCAGTGTCTTCTGCCGGAATGCGAATGGCCTTGGCTCTTTGCCGCAGCTGCCCTTTGTGCTCTGCTTTGACGAAGCACTGTCGAACCACTAGACTAAAGCGATTGCATTCTTGCAGAGTGTTCCAGATGGGGTCGCCAAGAATTGTTTGGGTGCTCAAGCTGACAAACTCCATCTCACATCCGCAAGCGCTAATCATGCTAGTTGTTGACAGGCACTCAAGCACAGCATTCTCAAACTCGTAAAGTCGGTCAAATTCTCGTAGTTCAATTGGCAGTTGAATTTCCTCGCCAGCTAAGGTAACCAGCGTGAGCTGGTAAGTGGCCGACTGCTCTGCTCTGGCCGGTGTGCTGGCTTGCGAGGAATCTCCTGTAGCCATCATGACGCGTCGCAAATGAATGTGGACATGCTTGTGCAGCTTGAGCCAGAGCACCTTGCATGTTTCTCATAGGTAGCAGTCTGTTCAAAGGCTTTTTTAACTTTCTTCCAGGGACAGTGACTGAGGTGACCGCCCTAGATCGGCCTGTGTTGTCTTGCGCAGGTCACGTTTGAATGCTTGGCGGTACTGTCCAGTCGTCCCCATTGGGGGGAGATAATTGAGCCACCAGGGGAGGTCCAGTCGAAAGCACGATTCAAACGCGTTGCTCTCAGCATATGGTCGTCTCCAAGTGACTCGTACATCTCGCCTGAAACGAAGGCGTAATAGCTGGCCACAGTCACCAAAGGCTTTATGCGCAATGTATCTCAGCTTATTAGGAAGGTCGATACTAGCAAGGGCAAGGCAGCCTTTAAATGTTTCTGCTTGTATTTCCTGCAAGGTGGGCGGGAGGCAAATGTCTATCAGGCTCACACAATGCGAAAAAGTGTGCATGTTAAGGATTTTCAGTGTTGTAAGGGAGATATCCACCTTGACCAGCTGCTTACAATTCTCATAGGCTCTATGTCCAACATAGTTGGCATCTGCCAGTAAGGTTACACGCTGAATCCCTGAAGAATGGAAGCATCCCTGCGGCTTCCGGGGGTGGCATGGGTGGGACCGCTGGCCCTGTCCTAGTGTGTGCCAGGCTAAGATGAGAGAGCTTGATGCAGCTCTCAAAAACATATGGCGCAAGCGTAGCTCCTTCCGCCAGCACATTTGCGCCTCCTTCTGTGACGCCAACTCGCTCCACACCACAACATTCTGAGAAAGTGCGTACTCCAAAATCGACACAGCCTGGTAACACGACTGTAGTCAAAGCATAACATCCTTGAAATGCAGCATTTTGTATTGCCACCACCGTGCTCGGCAGCTTGACAATTTGCAATTGATAGCGATATCGCCATGCCTCCCGTTCAACAGTGTGCAGCCCAGACGTGTCTTAATCGCGGCACCGATGAGAAGGCATTGGCCGGGATTACCCCCGTAGCGTTGGCTGGGATCCACACAGCCTTGGGATAGTCTTCGTATTCTTCTCCTTGGATTTGGCACTTGTGGTCATAGGTTTGGAAACATCCCTGCACTACAAGGTGAAAGCGCGTATCCGTCCGGAGGGTGTCCTGAATTGGGTCACTCAGGGCCTCATGAGTTTGTGGGCGCAAGAGAGTTATCTCGCAACCAAAGGTTTCTAATTGACTCGCCTCTGGGAGTTGTTCGACGAGGAAATCCTTTAGCATTTCCCAACAATGGTGAATGCTGACTGGTGCTGCAACCTCAATGTCATTACCTGCTATAGTGGTGAGGGTGAGACAATATACATCATTTTCTGCCTCGCCAGTTCCA